GCAGTTGACTTTTGAAAGTTTTGAAAAAAATTATTACTTATGTATGAGATTATTTAAAAATGTAAAAAAAGAAACAAATTATTACTTATGTTCCAAACATCTATGTAATTTTAAGATCCCCTAATTTCATATTTTGCACATTTTCCTTATTATCTTCAAAATCACCCCATTACTTATTGATGCTGCCTGTTACCAGCCCGTTTGGAAAACTCAAGTCCCAGAAGTAGGAACGCTTTATTTTCACCTATACAAAAAATAACCAGATATACTAGAGGATTGGAACCTTTTTCATGTGTTGAGTACAACCAAGAGTAATTTTCTGAGTCCTGCTGGTTCTTAGTCTCATATTAAAGAACGATACTCTTGTATATCAGAAACTCATGAGCATGGGACATTCCATATGGTTTTCATATCTGGAAAGTTGTCAATAATGAATCCGCTTTTAATTGTATTAGTCACAAGTTCATTGTTGGAAGCATGGGGTTATGTGCCACGTCACCAAGTGACCGAGGGTGACTATTGAGTCGTATTGAGGACTGGTGTGGATGGGCGATTTTCCCTCCTTCACTTCACCCTGCCCCTCTGAGTACTTAGAAGACCCTCTTTTCTATTTAACGCACTTGAACATACGTTTTTCATGGCGTTTGCAAGGTTCTATCTACAGAATAAGTTTTCCTTGCGCAATGTTCAAAGTCCTCCTGAGCAACAAGGGCAATGTGTTTTGCAATGCTCTTTCATGCGCAGGAAAACATTGCAACTAGAAAGTTCTAGGCAATTTCCATGTGATACAAATTCAGATTTCCACAAGTGTATTGGGTCAAAATTTCAGTCTCTTTCAGTTACTCACTTTCAATGCTAATCAAGTGCACTTGTTGGCAAGATCATGAATTGTTTTGGCTAAGGCTGTTGCCATACTTTAGATTTGGATTCTCATTAACTTAAAAAAATTTTAATTAAAGGTTTAGCTTGTTTTATACATTCCGTGTTCTGCAGGGAAACGGAGATCATGGGGGTCATTCGAAAATCAGAGCTAAATTAGCTTACTTGGAATAGATGAATTTTCAATAAGACGATGAAAATTTCCCCCTCCCCTAAATTCACTGAGGACTTGCACAACTGAGAGCATCTCAAAAGTTTTCAAGTATGAGCAAGATGAACTCATAGAGGTATTGTTCAATGGAATTCCTCATTATTCTACGTTTTTCTTGCAGGATAAATGCACTTGCGACTTTGGCAAGGATCTTGATGATGTGGCTCATCTGATCGAGTGCTATCGTCAAGATGAAATCGATATCTGGAGCGACCTCCAAGTGAGTGAGGGGTTACTGCACTTTTTATTATATACAAGATTTTTATATTATTAATTAACCCAAAGAAATTAAAATGAAGGAGGAACTATAACTCACAGATGCATACAACTATGCGATGTGGGAAGCAGGACATTTTAAAGTGCAAAAATGGAAATTACAAGTCACCCAACATATCACTAAATGTGTCAGAAGTGGTCACCGCCTTGTTCAATACACAAGTGTGCACGGAAATCATATTACTGGACACAGACTTCAAAACACTCTGGCTGAATGTGGGCAAAGAATTTGGTAATATTTTGCTGCAACTCTTCCCCAATGTGTGGGGGTTTGTTCCCATGTGCATGGTCTTTAAATGTATTCCCTCAAGTAGTAATCAGTGATGATAAATTGGGTGAGCGTGGAAGCCGAATCCCTTGGAAATTATTCCATCACCGTATCCCAACTCCGTCTGGAAAGACGTGTGGCTTGTTGCCCCGTCTTGTTGTAACCAGTCATTGTGAATTTCATCCTCTGATAGACAGCCCAAGAACTCGTGTATATTGTCTATGTAAGTTTCAGATGAAATCGTGTTGTGGAAGAGTAAAGTCCCACAATCCGACGTTTCGAAATGCCGCTTCACACTCCGACTTTCTCGGGATGAATGTTGGCTCTTTAATGATGTGTGGGTTTCCTATAGACAATATGCGCTTGTTTCGCGCATTCTCATATGCGGTGAGGTGAAACCATTAATTTAACCTTAACTGAGAAAAAACATCTAAGATGTCGGGCTGCTGCTTCACAATTTGAAGAAACCATTTGCAATATGCAAGCCGCTAGTTCCACAAACCGCCTTTTAATATCTGATGGGTGCAGTTTCTGCATTTCATGCACCTTCTAGGGATGTAGCTTTAATTGATTCACTGTTTGGGCGCAACTTCCTAATGCCAGTCATGGAAACCAAATAAATTCTCACCGGATATTCAATAATTTTCATATTGAATTTTAGGTGAGAATGAACTTGGCTTCCACACTTCCGACACTGACATTCAGCTTTGCTGCAATAACAGGTGGAATAACACGGAGATTCTCCTAAATTAACTATTCATCCTGATTAACGTTTGTTGGAGTCATAACAGCTTGTTGCACATAAGCACGATCAACGTCGGTCATGGATTCAAAGTTATTGTTGAACCCATTGCGCCATGTAACTATGCATCTGTGTCAAACACATTCATCACCAAATGGTAAATATAACCTTTGAATCTCGGTTGGTCTGATGTTCTCCTTCACCAGGAACTTAATCTCATAGTATTATTCCACGACACACGTTACAGCACCCAAGCATCATGATCATGTAAGCAAGGTATCAATTTTTTGGCAAACAATGTCAATTTCTTGCGATTGTCATGCAAATGATATCACGTTCGTATAGAATTTATATTTCTCTACTTATATCGCCTAAGAGGATGTGTATTTCATATGAACTAGATATGATTTCACTTGATATAAAGTACATGACATGAAGTTCATGCAATATGAACATCACAACATCCATATGAAACTTTCGCTGATTAGACTGTCTCTAGTGCAAAGATCCTTCACTAGATGGAACCCATGTTCCCTTCACACAAAAAATTCAATTAAGTACCTGCTTTACTGATATATAGTATCAGGTCATTCCCCCCAATTTCCTCTTCTCATTGTGCAATTTATAAATATATTGGGTTGGAAAGAAATTCTTGCAACACTTTCTGAAACTATTTATGAATATTTTCAAAGGAATGATTTGCATTTGTATATGCTGGAATGTTCTCGAAGCTTCTGCCCTCGGGGTATATAAGGCGGCTTCTGCCATCAGTTAGCAGCCATGGCTCCGATCGAACGAGAAACTCTTCGCCCCATCGTCTACTACGAGTTCCTCCAAGGACACTCTGCACTGCATTCAATCTGCGCTGCATTCAATGGCAACGTCGTCCACTATTCCACGGTGTCTCGATGGTTGAAACGCTTCGAATCTGGCGACACGACCTTCGGAGATCGACCACGCTCAGGACGTCCATCGTCAGTTGATGACGAAGCCCTGCGGAACGCCCTCAACGCGAAGCCGAACGCCACCACTCGCGAATCGGTGACTACACTTGGAGTCACCCATATGGCCATCGGCAACCATCTGAACGACCTCGGCTATCGGAAGGTTTACTTGACATGGGTCCCACATCGGCTCGGCGACTCTGACAAAGCAAGCGTGTCGGTGTTTGCGAATCACTGCTCCTTCGTCCGCACAGAAAGGACCTTCTGAAGGAAATCGTTACTGGAGATGAGAGCAGGGTCCTCTACGTCGACCATACTCGCAAGAGTCAGAGGCTTCCACGAGGAGAATTGCAGCCACATGAACCAAAACCATGGTTCCACGAGAAGAAGGTTCTTCACTGCTGTTGGTGGGATTCAGAAGGAATGTTGTACTATGAGCACCTGCCAACCGGTACCACCGTGACTGCCGTCGTCTACGCTGCTCGACTTCAGAAGTTGGCTGGCGTCATTCAAAAAGAGCGTCCCAAACGCGACAAAGTTCTCCTTCTGCATGACAACGCTCGTCCACATGTTGCGAAGATGACTCACCAGACGGTTTCGGAACTGGGCTGGGAAGTTTTACCCCATCCAGCGTATTCTCCGGACTTGGCCCCTTCCGACTATCACTTGTTCCGGGCCCACAAGAATCACCTGCGGGACAAGGCTTTCGACGATCAAGCACAGCTCGAAAATGATGTCGGCCGTTTCTTCGCTTCGCAATCGCCAGAGTTCTGGGCAAAGGGCATCGAGCAGTTACCCGTGCATTGGGAACATGTCATAGACAACAATGGTCATTACATTGAAGACTGAAATTGCCTTTCAATAAAGTTATAAAATTTTGAAAAATTTGCGCAGTGTTGCAAGACTTCCTTTCCAAACCAATATATTGGGAAAACATTGAAATATGATATTATTATCTTAATATATGACTCATGGAATTATTAAGTGTTGAAGTTACGTATGGGAATAATGGAGTGTACAGGAATAAGGAATGGTGAAATGTCATACTTCTCAAGTTTCAAACCGTTATTTTTTATGCAGAGTAGAACCATTAGGTCCTGTCTTGCTCCCACGGTTCTGTGCTGGGTGCGGAAGAGTGGAGAAATAGGCACTCTTGGGCACTTTTAAGTAAGAGTAGTTGCGTAATCTTCCGAGTATCCCAGATTTTTCTTAAAAGGTGGGGTTTTGCTTTTTATAAAAAATAGAATGAAATATGGCTGAAAAATTAACGTAAATTTTACATAATATCGATATACACATGCTTCTTGAGATGCAAACGGAAATGTCGATTTCACGTAAAATTCTCGTCAATTTTACATCACCGTTTGGGTATCACAGAGGTGACATTTCTGTTAATATGTTGACAATATATTGATTAAGGTTAGCGAGAAATACACATAAAATAGATGACAAATTTTCATCATATGTATATAATATTGATGTAAACATGCTGCTTGGGCAGTTATCGCCATATGGGCTATACGTGGCACGTTTTGCGCAGTAGTGATGCCATTTCTCACGGGACATTCTAAGGGTTGGCGGAATCATTGCGCAACATTTCAGAATTTAAAATAATTTAAGATTTTCTGGAAAAAAAAGTTCGAATAAACTTTCAACGACGCCCGTTGAATGCTATATCAAATGCGTGGCGCATTGTGTTCGAAATGCTAAATCCAGTTTTATGTTTTGAAGGTGAACTTGGAAAGTACTCGCAAAGTACCATTCAAGGAAGCTGCTGAGATATATCTCCAACGACACTACCCCAATGCTGGAAAAGGTCACTGTTCTGTACCATCATGTTTCCTTCTCGAAGACCCGATAACCGAAGCCCTTGTGAATAAAAGGAAGAGAGAGGAAGATGTTCAAGATGTGGCCGTTTATAATGTGTTCCAGCAAGTGAAAGACCTTTGTGGTTCAGCTGCATCCTTGGCGCTTGCTAATTACAAGTTTTCATTTCTTGATCGAGAGAGTTTGTATGAGCAGGCTTATGACAAGTGGCTAAGTAAGGATACGAGGAAGGAAGACTTTCTTGAGCCAATGGAATTACAACATCGCTCTCACTGCATTTCCCTTTGCTATCCCTCAAAAGACGCTGTTTACAATGTATTTTTCCAAATCAAACGAACAAATGAGAAGGATTCTACATACACTTTCAAGAGGCACTTTCAGGACGCAATCCTTCAATGCCGCCTTGACAGACTTTTATTTCGTACCATGTGTGGACCCGTTCTCGATTCAGAGGTAAAGGTTATTGCATTTCCATCCTTCCCTAACATTAAGAGAGAGGAATTGGGGATTTTGATGAATTGCAAAATGTGCCCAAGGAGGATCATCACCAAAGAAGATATTCAGGGATCACAGAATTTAGGACATTTCCTTTTCAATAACGAGGTGATTCATCTTCCGGATAGAAATGGTGAAGGAGATGTCAGATTTGAGAAATTGTTCTCCAAAGTGTTGTCCATCTACATCTGCGCACCTATTACATTTACCATGGCATGGACTCCTTCAAGGGATTTTAAAGCTCCCGAAGACCAAAAGATATGGAGCCTTTTTACTCCCGATCAAGAGAAGCTTGTGAATGACCAGACATCATCGTCGCCCCTTCTTATTAATGGAGGTCCAGGCACAGGCAAGACCATTGTCGTGAAGAAGAGAGCAGAACGACTGGCAGAAGAAGCTCTTGCAAAGGTATTGGTGATTAACCTGGCAGGTGGATGTCTCACAGAAAATCTACGTCGTGAACTTCAAGGTCAGTGATGAGGAAAGCTGCCTTTTACTGTGGAAAATAATTTTTAGATGAGGTTTTATTCCAATATCCCGCATAGTGTTTTGGGGAAAGTTTGCGCGATTTTTTTTCTGATCGATGCCAACAAATTTGTTAATCCAAACCGTCGAAGTTTAAGGAATATTGCTGCCGTTTCCACAGCCTTCCTGCAAAATTTAAGGATCAATGCCTGTAACGCCACTCTATTCAGGCGCGTAAATCAGACTGAGTAGGATTCCGATTTCATTACTTTGCATGTTCACTGATAACACCGATTTCCGATGGTGCAGCATGGTCATTCAACAACAGGATGTGACTTTTAAGTAGTATAGGGAAAATAAGGGACTTTGGTGTGCTGTGAATCCCCTTGTGTGGTATTGATTTTGCTATATATATTCGCAGGAAAGAGAAATATCATGGTGGTGGATGGGAGGGAAAAGGGAATCTCGAAAAACCTCGGAAGACTTCTCAACTTTCTCAAGGAAAATGGGAAGAATAAGCATGTACTAATTGACGAAGTCCCTCTCACCTTTGGCATGGAAGTGCCTCACAATCCTGCAATTATCGCCGCGCATTGGGAGCCGGTCCTGAATGATATTTCCACTTATGTGGAGAGTCTTACTATTGCATTCCGTCCGAACGATCCCTCTTATATCAGAAGTATTGATGCCCAATCAATCCAGATCCCTAATGTTCAGATGACGTGCTTGAATGTGGTGATGAGGAACACAAAGCATGTGTCAAAGTTATTCCTAGCTCTTGGTGATTATTCTCATAGGATTTTTCTTTGTGAAGAACCCACCATCAGGGAAATGCAATTCTGCTCGCCTGGACAGGATGTAATATTGCCCTCTTTGCTTCCTATCCCATCTTGTACCACTCTACATGATACTTGCAAGTTCATAATGACGTGTGAAGCTGTCAGATTCTCCCAAGTAATACTGAAAATAAGGGAACAGCAAATAAAGGACAATGCAACAACTGAGCTCCTATACGCAGTGGTGGACACAATGGACCGACGTGATCGCCTGGTGAATACCCTCAATTCTGTATATAATGAGCCTGTGAAGTTTCTCAACGCAGATGGAGAAGCCTTCAGATACCCTGGAAAAGACGGAAGTTCAAAGCCTTGTTTTTTGATAGTTGTGACAAGCAAACAAATTTTAGGGTATCATGGAAGTGACACTATTGTCATTCTGGATCTACCGAACTCAAAGTGGAGTAATTTTATCCGAATGGTGAGCTCATGCCAAAGGAATATAACAGTCGTCATGGAGCAGGAAGCTTTGGAAGTAGGGAAATATTCATACATTAAACAGAAAGAGTCTATGAATCTGGTAGTTGAAGAATTAAAAGATTTTACAGAAGGGCTGCATGATAAGTTGGAGGAGGCATATAGCAAGAGAGGAGAAATAGACGTACACCTCAATGAGAGCGGATACATGGAGGAAAATCCAATTCTGCTAGAGATTCCTTTCAAATTCTGCACGAACTGGCTTCAGCCCAGAGAGGAAGGTCTACACTCAATGAATGACGCAGGGGATTCAAATAATAAAATCAGGTTAACTGTCATCTTTGGACCCCCGGCCTCCGGGAAAAGTTTCACATTGCTTAACTGGATCAAGCAAAGGGCAGGTCGAGGCCAGAATACGAATAAAATCCTCTTGATCCATATGGGAAATCCTCTCAGCCAGGAAGAATCACGGGCTTATCTTGACAGCAATCACTTGGAGGTGGATATTTTCCGATCGAAAGCACTCTCTCCCCTTAATATATTCAATATCCGTCAAGTGGGCTTTAAAGTGTGGAGATATCGCAAGCAAAACGTCTACTATCTTGTCGATGATTATTCCATCTTGTCAAACGATACTGCTGAAGAGATTGAACGCTGGAGAAGGGCCATGGAGGAGTTGAGAAACCGGAGAAAGTATTTATTTCTGATAGTTGCATTCCAGCCACATGCAAAAGGTGGTCGGAGGATCTTCATGCAAAGGCTTTTAAATTTCTTTCGCGATCAAGAGGATGTGGAAGTGATTATGTTGCGCCATAATAAAAGCCACACAAGTCAAAGTCTTCTCGATCACATTTCGTCGAATGAGACAAACACTACATTGAACCTAGAAGCTAACAGTCTCCTTACCGCAACTCGTCCCTGTGATTGGTTTGGAGGCGCTAAGCCCCTTTATATGAAATCTATGTATACATGTGATGGTACTCACAATAACTATCCCTGCCAAGGAAAGAAAAAGTGTGGACCTTACATGGGTGTGTTCTTATGCTTTCAATACTTACTAAGAAGTTTGAAAAATAGAAACTGTTTTCCAGAAGACCAGTCAGTTCTTCAAGGAAAAGAAGGAAGTCCAATAAACCAAGAAGACTACAGACGTCAAGCTTCAATCCTTGTACTAGTCTCAAACAGCAAACTGATGAGATTTTTAGAGGCAACGAGTGAAGGTCGAAACTCGGATTTTACAACGTTGAGTTCTGGAGAGAAAGAGTTCCTATCTTCACGAAGGTTGGAATTCCATCACCCCAAAGATTTTCGAGGGTGTGAGTCCAATGCTGTCATCACAGTGAATGTGGAGGATTCGTGGCTTCTAGAAAGCGTGTCAAGAGGACGAACACTACTGCGAATTATCGATTGCTTATCAGACCATGAACACGTTTGGATTGCAATGCAGGAAGAGAAACATGTGGATCTCCTGGAAGTGCCAAATGAAGATGTGAACAGCATCCTCAACGACTTCGACGATGACACACTCCATCGCTTAAACGTTGTTGGAAATTTCCTGAAGGTACGTATTTTACTTCCCTCATCACTGATTATAATTATCCCACGTCTTTCTCGCTTCCTTCATTTATCCTGATACCCAATATTTTGTTGCGTTTCTGTAAGTTAAATTGGGAAATCTCCTGTAGACGGCTGATTGCCGTACATATATTTTCATCGGAAAAAGAATTGGCAGGTGGGTAATGGAACACGATTGCAGTCAGGTGGAATATGGGCCAGGTTTATTATTGACTACAGAATGACTACAGGTTTTGAGTGAACTTCAGAGGCTGTCCGAGAGGCAAAGATCTTCGTCCACGGATGAAAAATCCAAACGACGTCTTGTCCTCCAATGTCTCCTTACATCTGGGTCCCGGGGGAACCCAGAGTCTTGTCCTCGCCCAGTTGCTGCAACGAAATCTCTGGTAGAATCGTGCTCTACTCAAATGGGTGCCAGCCTCAAGTGAGGAGTCGATTAACCGTGGAAATTCTGACGTCTGCAGACACCTACGTCCAGAGGCCTTCCTATCCGTAAGGGAAAGGGATCACCGGTGCTACAATCCGGTAGCCCTTCCGCTCGAGGTTTGGATCAGTGATCAAACCGAGCCGACCAGTCGATTGACAACTGGAATTCTTCTGCCGTCTGGAGACACCAAGGTCCAGAGGCCTTCCTATCCATAAGGAAAGGGGTCACCGGTGCTACAATCCGGTAGCACTTCCGCTCAAGATTTGAATTAAACCGAGCCGACCATTCGATTAACAACTGGTATTCTGCCGTCTGGAGACACCAAGGTCCTGAGAAAGTCGTTCGGAGTCGTGGATCCTGTACCGTCGTAGTACGTCCTGGCTCGAGGTTTGAGTGGAGGTCAAACCGAGCAGGTGGTACGCACGCTGATGTCAACAGAGCTCGAGGTTCGTGACCCGCGCACAGATTGGCGGCCGTTTACTCACAAATGGAGCAGCGCCTTCTGAGCCGTTCCACTTCCTTTAGGGGTGGATCCACGAATGGAATCGGGTCGACCGAGCTCTGGAGGAGTTGTCCAGCCGCAGACTCTTGGCAGGCTCAAAAGCTTAGAGAGAGCTCCTAGCTCGAGCTGCCTGAGTCGTGCAAGCGACCGACTGCCTCTCTCCGCACTGAAGATGGGGGTTTTTATACCGGAGAGGAGGCCATAAAGTTGGGTCATTCGTGACCGTTGGAAAGAATTTGTCAACAAGAAAAGCGGGGGGGGGATAAGACATGCGGAGCACACGTGCTGATCACGTGATTGTTCCTGAGTTGGTGCCCATACATCCACATTTCATGTTTGCTACAATATGATACATATCACCAGGAGGAAAAGCCGTAGAGCTAAGTACACGGGGTTTTAAAAAAAACTGCGCTAAATCCTTTTCGCTAATAACATTAAATTTGATCAGATCAATTTACTGTTTAGAAGGCATGTGCTAAATTTAAAGAAAATTAACGTATAGTATCACGTTCTATGCATTTCAAACTTGATATGTAAAAAGGTGAGCCATACAAGCTCAAAAACTGTGCCAATTAGTGTTTTTTTTCTTTAGGAATGATAGTAAATTTAATCATATTGTCCAAATATTTCACAAACGGTCAGGGGATAGATGAAATAAGAAGGCTTTTGCAAATTTTAAACGATATTTATCGAATGTATCACATGATACACCGCTTAAAACTTAAAGGCTAAGAAAATGTACCGGACATGCCCGCTGATGCGTTCGTCTCAGCCAGTGAAGCTAACCTCTTTTGCCGTTCTGAGTGGCACGCAGACCCTCGCTTGCTGCACAGAAGGAACGAATGCATTGTAGCGAACCCCAGGGGGTCACAAGATATGGGGCACGAATGCCTCGCTACATATGGGGATCAGACCCAATGTGGTCGGATGGTAATCAAGAAGGTTGCGTGTTCTTAT